CCACCTGATGTTAAGTGAGATCTGAAGATTGTTCACTTTCCAGAGTCCACCATTGCATTCTGTCCTGGCCAACTGATAGAAAGCTACTCCTGAAAAAGCTCAAAATCAGCCCTTTTCAGGTTTACTTTGAACATATGCAGACAAAGTAATTAATAATTTTAAAAAGGCAGAAATCTAGAAACTATTTTCCTTCACAAGAAAGTTTTAAATAATAGCTAAAAACTAAAAAGTGAACATATTTTGTATCTCCTATTAGAGATCAAGTCTGAAATGAAAGACCTTGAGTTATACAATTAAGTATTGATTTTATTGATCTATATTTAATTCTCATAGCAATGTAGTTGTTTTTACCCAATAGTGTTTTGCAGTTATACTTCACTTGATGCAATGCCCTTCTTGCTTTTGTGTTAATCTAAAAGCTAAATTGCCCAGTGCATGAGAGACATAAATAAAGTTCATTTTATTCTTGTGTGTAAGTGATTCCAAGCCCTTTAAAGTGCTGGTTAACTAAACTTAGGCAGCTGGAAAATACATTTATCTTGCAGAATTGTGCATTGCTAATACTGGGCTCTGGCATGCCCAGGCAGTCAGAGCTTCTGCATATCACCATATAGAAGAAATGGACTTGCTGTTTCATTCCTTTCTGCATGCCAGCTATGGGGTCCTTTCTACCTACGGACCAGCCCATCCTGCCCTGCTCCTTCCTATCAGACCTGCAGAGTTTTTGTGCCATTCAGAGCAGCTACGGGTGTGACTGGGCCTTCATCACGTGCTGCTGAAAATGCCTTCCACCCACATGTAACCTCTCATTTGTAAGGTTTAAAAAAAATCTAATTTGATGTATTACTGTAAAAATAACACCTATTTATAATGTATCAGTGTAACTGCAGGGTAGTTTTGTTTTCCTAATTTGCTGTGCTTGAAGTGACATGCCAGATTTTATTATATCACTAATGGGTTTTTAGTTATTCCCTTTAGGATGTTGCCAAGAAGGAAACATTATTCTGATTCATGACTCATGAGTTTATTTCAAAGGGATGTAACTCATGATGAATGTCTGTATTATGTCAGATGGAGTTTCTCCCCTTCTGACGAGTCACTGCTCTCAGATGGGATGAAGCACCCCACACTGACTAGCTCAGAAATGCCAGTGAGGGGAAGCTCTCCACTGACATGGACTAGATTAACAGATGCTCCCTATACCTTAAGGCTATCATAGTATGGATTTTCCATGCAAAAATATTGTTAGTGTAAGTAAAACAAGCTATACAGTGATCTGCTTTAGGATGATGGGCCACAGCTTTTTTAGGTCCTGTGAAAACCCCAGTCCTTTTCCACATTGAGCCTTTTTTCTTTGCTTAGGACAAAATCTGTGGCTATATCTTTTTATCTTTTCACTTGAGTTAATACTTAGGAAAACATACAGTGACCACACCAAATACAGCAGATCCCTTTTATATTAATGGAACAGATGCAGAATAGTCAGCAGCAAAGTCAACACCTTGGGGCTGAAATAGCTTCAAGTGTTGCTTCTGAGAAGAATCCTCTCCGAGAGCAAGCAAGCACTGTTGGCCCCACCTTAGCTCTCGTAGCAACACTGAACAAAATCATTGTCCTTTTTTTTTTTCCTGTGGTGATAAAACCACCTGTTCATTATGCAGAAAGTCACCACTAGTATAGGAAAGCTTTGATTGGAACCCATGACCTAGAGGTTAGGTGCTCTCAGCGCGATTACCAAATCTCGCCCAGTTCTCATGGATACAAAACACATCTGATCTGCTTCCACATGTTTCTATCTGCAGGAAAAGCTACCGATTCACATTAGTGGGACTTTCAAATGCCTTAATGAACTAATTGCTTTAAAATGCACAATACTAACATCTTTAGGCTAACCCTTGTTCTTTCTCATATATGTGACTCTGCTGAAGTCAGTAACAAAATCTAGATGAACAAAAAATTAAAAACACTACTTAACCACTTACCCAATTTATCAAACAAAATCAAATAATAGCTGCTTTGGTTTTGCCTTTCAATTCATCTAGCAGCTGTTGTGACTGCCATGAAAAATAAGAAACTTAATTAAGGATGAATCTAAATAAATACTCTGGTAATTTTTCCCAAATTGTATCTATAATAACTAGATTAAAATTTCTTAAAGAATTTGGGGTAACATTTTTTCTTACACACCACGTTTAAAGAAACAATCAGTGACTTTTCAACTTGGCATGTACATAATTTTGTTACTGTAGGAGAAAATGATTTGTTGATATATAGTCTTACGTTAGTATCTCTGCTTAAAGTTTTAATTTTGTTCATGTAGCTTAGGATGTGGTTTTTTCCATGTGTCAAGGACTAGAATATAATGTTTTAATTTTCTAACCAGATTTTTTTTTTATTTCATGTACAATTTAACAGAAAATTGAACAGAATAAAAAAAACAAGTCCCATCCAGATGACCCCACAGTCTTACCTGATAATAAAATTTTAGTAATAAAATTTGCTACAACAATTTTTAGAATTAGTTTGCCAATGGTTCTTGATGTATCACAGATGTATTCACTACTTTCTTTGTTTTGCCAGTGGGTTTCACTGCTGGACTTCACTTCAATGTCATTTGATTCAATTATTTTACTTAAAATTTATAGAGAATACTTTAGTTCTCTGCAGCTCCTCAAATACATTTTTATTAAATTATGAGCTAGAGTGTGATTAAAGTAGGATTGTAGTCTAAGTTGTGCTTGTAGGGTAGAATATATTATTGATAATACATATATGCAGAATATACCACTGAATTCACTCCGGTCTGTCCTGTAGTTTCAATATGTCCTCCAGCCAGCCAGAGATCCTGCTCCTATTTGGATAATTCATCTGGACTGCTCGTGCAGGAAATGCTAGGGGTGTCTCTGCTCCTCCTAGCCAGGAGTTGGAATTGGCCCCATTGGAATCACTACAGGTTTTATTGCAGACCTTACTAATACCAGTATTGACTTCTTGCAGCCGCAACTCTGCGCGGAGCAGCCACGTTCGATTCATCTAAAGAGAAGCTGTGAAGTGGGAAAAATACACACAAAGAAAAATAATTTAGTCTGTCACATAATAAAGTATCTTGGGTTTAGTAGTCAGAAGAGTGGGGAGTGCCAGTATGGATGCTATTGATGTCATGCCTGAGAATTTTCTCATCTGGCCTACAGAGAAGTGAAACAACTGTTTCAGTCATATTGTGTGATGTTTGAAGTAAGGGCAAAGGGAAGACCATTTTAAGCTAAAATCTTTGAGAATTTCTATTGAAGGGTCTTAAATTGGTGTTTCTTCCCATTACCAAGGGCTATATTCCTCTAGTTCAGAAAACATTCTAATTACAGTTATTGAAGAGCTTAGTTTTAACAATTGTCTAGAACCAGAATCTAACATAACATCACTTAAAACCTTTTAGACTGAAGATTAATGAAACAAACGGAAAATTTTTGTTTACTAAGACATCATCATCTCATGTTGCTTTGCCTAAGTTTGTGTGAAACATTTGATGAAAAGACTAACCTAATCCTGGCATTGTTAGCTTATGAAATATGACAGGATCACAACATAAACTGTAATTGGATTGGCATTTCAATTTTTATCTGGCTAGTCATAAAAACAAGCAATCAAACTGTCTAACAATTTGTCTTCCTCTTGCCCAAGGAAAACCAGCACAGCAAGCACAACATTTGAACTTAACTGAAACTTGGATTTAAAAAAAAAAAATAATTAATGGTCCTTTACATCTCCATATATAAGGACCTACATCATCCCCACATCTGGCCATGCTTTATTTTCCGTGTGTTCATTTTTCTATCTGAACCAAACCATTAGTGTCTTGGATTGACAGTCATTTACTGTTTCAGTCTTTGCTATCTGATGGCAATACCAAAAATGAGGAATGGCTTGTACTCTGGCAGCCTGTCTCAACGTTCCTGCATCTTACCTCTCCGAGAGGCTGTTAAATGTTGAATGTAAAATGGTTGAATGTTATCTCATATCCCTCTGATAATATTATCGGTAAGAGGAGTTAGTTACATGGATTTTGAAACACCCTGTAAATGAGCAGCAGGTAATTTTTACTGAACTTCTCCCACTGCAGTTCCCTAACTATTCCTTGGTCAGATCTCTGATTGAGAATACAAGTAACTAACAAAGGAATAAAATTACTCCTGTATAATCCTACTGTGTGTTTTTAATACAATGTGTTGATACATTGTCTGGTGTTCCTGAAGAATCACCACCCTTCTCTGAGTAGGCCTGGCCAATACCTGATTGATTCAGGGCTGTGGGGACTGACCCAGTTCAGTATAATTTCCTGTCTTGTTTCCTTCTTGAGTGTCAGTGCGTGTTTGGGTCTGTGGAGATCAATACGCTTACATATACATGTGAGGTTATTCTCTAGCAAGTTTCATTTGCGTCTGTAATTTATGGAAGATGCTACTTTCTCCTCTGAATATGTCTGTGTGCCTTTTTTGTAGCAGGCTTCAAACTACTTAAACAAATGCCTGTTTAAACGTACCCCCCAAAGTATTCTTAAAGGAGAAGATTTAAATTACTGTGAAGATGCTGGAGGTGTTTAACACATGCATATCCAGGATCTGCTACTAAAGACATTAATAGCACTTAACTGTTTTGTAAATGGAGCCCTATTTGTCTCAGCAGAATCATTAAAGTTATGATGGATCCTAAAATGGACATTAATGGTCTATTTAATTATAACAGAGATTTAAGCACATGACAATCTATTTCTGTTAACCCTGTGAACTTTGGAAAGACATACATTAATGGTGTACAGTCAGATAACTTTATTTTTGTAAGAAATAAGTTTCTAATATTTCCCTCGCTTTTTACAGAAATTGAAGCAAACAGAAGAAACAAAAGAGGATTCCCAGAATAGATTATCTAAAATTTCCCTGGAGTCTCTCAATAAATTTAACAGCAATAACATACTTTTATTAGAAAAAGAGAAGAACTGTCTGAACATGGTTGAAGGACAAATGGAAGAAAGTGGAAAGAAAGAAGCAGCTTCCTTAAATAGCTCGGGTAGGCACGACGTGGACAATTTAGAATCCTTGAGCGATTCCCTGTACGACAGCTTCTCCTCCTGCGCCAGCCAAGGCTCCAACGACGTATAGAGACACTTCCCAGGGGGCTGTGGCACGGAACGGAGCTGAAGGCCAGTGGGGAGCCAGGAGGGAGAAGAGGCACTTGTTGAAAATTCCCACTCCCAAATGGCTGTGCTGGCTCAGGGTGGTCTGACCCGGCACGACGCTGCAGTAAGAGAGGCAGGAGCACAGTCATCGTGAGGCCCAAGACTCCACACTGAACACAACCAACGGTTACACAGAGTAAAGTCTTAATTTTGCACTTTTGTGAACATTTGTACAGTTGTATATAACTTGGGAAAATATATTTGTAGGGATAAATGACAGCAATAAATATTAAATTGGTGCTATGCTCCTGTAATGGCAGATTACTAACTTAAAGAAGTTGGTGTTAATATTAACAAGAAAGGTTAGTAGATTTTTTTAAAAAAGATTTATAACTGTTCTAGTCTTAAAGCTGTATGTAGAAACACTGCTTTACCATAAACCTGAGCCTGCCAAACTGTCCGTCATAAACTTCCTTGGCCTCCCTTTTACAAAACTTACTTTATTTTATATTCTTAGTGCAATTTCATGCAGGTGTTCTAGGGAACCGTGCATTCCAGTTACTACAACTTCACAACAGGTGTCTTATTTCAAAAGGGTTTTGACTTTTGACATGGTGAGAAAATGAATATATCAAAAGGCCTGATATTGCTGGTGTCGCTTTCACAAACCATGCGCGGTGCTGTTTGGAAGGGCAGGGTCAAAGTAACTCTCTGCTGACGCAGACGGGAGTTTTGTAGCCTGAGAACTGCACAAACCAGCCTTTTCTTCCCACTGCAACGTAGCTTCTCCACTTCCATCCCCTCTGTACTCATTTCCTACCCGTTTCTGAATCTTCCCATTTTGTGTTACGTTTTGTCGTCCCCGTTTGGTCTTAATTATATTGTAGACACTACAATAATTTTTTAAAAGCCGAAACCCCTGTTTGTGACGTGCTTAAAGAAGATGTTGGTGCTAACTCAGTACTAGTTCAGACACATCTAGGAGCAGGGCTATTGGCGTGTGTTGGGGTTGTGGTGTTTTTTCTACAAAGGTTGTTTATATGTAAGGGAAAGTCTATTTCAAAGGTTCTGTGTATTTTTTCTAGATGTGGAGTATTTATATCTGCTTTTTGTACAGCGATCTGTAAACTAGATATATTTGGGATATTTCTAGACTCTACAGTTTCTATAGCACATGCCTGTTAATCTTTGAAATATTGTACGATCAGTGTTAATATTTTGTGCAATTTGTTATATTTTAAGTAATTTCCGCTGTAAACTTGGGTCGTCTTTTTTTGACTTTTAAGAAAAATTTTCATGGAAACACCTTTCGTAAATAAAACTTCTCTTGCAGATGCGTGTGTTTAAAAGAAGGGGGTTTGGAAGGCGTTGGTGTAGCATCCCAGGCGTGAGGGGATGAGGCACCGGGAAGGGGATGAGGCACCGGGATGGGGATGAGGCACTGGGATGGGGATGGGGCACCGGGAAGGGGATGAGGCACCGGGATGGGGATGAGGCACCGGGATGGGGATGAGGCACCGGGCAGCTCCGCCCGCCTTCCTGCTCCCGAAGGAACGCAGGGGCAGGGGGGATTCCCTCAGACGGATGCGCGACACGG